AATCAACCACTCAGGTACAAGGAGAAAACTGCTAAAAATATGAAAATACAATTAGAGATTAAACAGTAATTTCAGTATGATCTAGAATGCTGGAATTACCTTCTGTGTTATTATACATGAGCTCTTTTTATTTGTCGATACAGAAGTTCTTTACCGGTATTTGAAACTGTTTTTTTTTGTTATCAACCATGAAGCTTTCCTTTTCAACAATTGAATTCCCTGTCAATGTTTAATCATCTAAACCATCTGAACACATCCAATGAACCAAAGCAGTCTTTGGTCTCAAAGGTCATTATTGTTCAATGATGAAAAAAGATGACTAGCTGGCAAGTTCCTTCATGAATTGCAAGCCCAAATGGATCTGTTGAATAATAGATTAGATGTTTCCAAACAATCTATATGTGAATTAGGACAGATAATTATCCAATGATTATATGGCAAAGGCCATATAGAGAATTCTGGCTCTTCTCCAAATGACCTGAAATGATTTACACGATCTACAGTGAGTTCACACCAAAATCAAAAGAGTACCATGTACATGTAAACTGTCATTTGTAACCTTGGACAATAACAGTTTAGGCATTGATGCCAAAATCTTCCAATAGTAAAATATATATCTGTGAATAAATATGTGCAAAAGTTTTAATTCTGTATTGATATCAAATGGAGGCAATTAATAGAACAATAACTTGCATTTATATAGCACTATTAATTTACTAAAATGATTCAGGATGTTTCACAGGAGTGTAATCAGACAAAAAGGAACATCAAGCCAAAGAAGGAGACATTTGGATTGCTAGATTTAAGGAATGTCTTAAAGGAGCAAAGGCAGAGAGGTTTGGGAAAAGAATCACAAGTTTCAACTTGTGGGCTTCACAGGTTGAAGAAACATGTGCCAATATTTAAATATAAGAAACGGGGTTTGCACAAGAGGCCAGATTAGAGGAGCAGAATTCTTGGAGAGCTATAGAACATGTTCCTTTAAAACATAGTTATTGTAAGGGGCCAGTTTTGTTAGTGAGTGATCCTTTAAATTATTTGTGCGGCCATCATCCACATTATCATGGAATAAGACCTGCAATTACACCATCTAGGCTGTTGTGTACCACAAATCTGCACACCTTAGCAGGAACATTAATTATAGAGTTGTATGAGTCTACAGAGATAGAGAGGGAGGAAGCTAAGGACAATGTGAATGTAAGGATAGGAATTTCAAAATCAAGCCATTAGTTAACCAAGAACAAATGTATATCAGCAAGAACATTTTAATTGGATGAATGGAATTTGGCACTTGTTAGGATTGGGAAGCAGAATTTTGGATGAGCTTCAGTTTGTAGAGGGTAGATAAGTGTAAGACAACCAGGTCAGCAGTGAAATATTCGTATTTGAAGACAACTGAAATATGAATGAAGGTTTTCGGCAACAGATGAACTGAAGCAGGAATGGAACATCATATTTCAGAGGTGAATGGGTTTTCTGATGGAGAAGGTATAGACTAGAAGCTTTGCTCTAGGTAAAATAATGTCAGTCAGTTTAGTTCATTATGAAACAATGCCCAGGAGGGAATGGAATTTTGTGGCACCTTTGCACTATGGGGATTCTAGCAACAAATGCTGGTAAATTTTAGGTTATTTTTCTTATCAAGAATACAGAGAATGGGATTTTGTTTCATAGCCTCAGTTAGAGCCATGTATCATAGGTTCATCATCATGAACCAATCAGCTCACCTGTGGCTTTTTGCACACTAAGTCCAGCAGCAATCCTTTTGATGCCTAGTCAGGGGTTACTGTAATAATCCCCAGCATTTCTTAATTAAGAACAGCATCCAGGTTCTTGAGGGATTAATTCTTTCTCTTTCAATGACTTGGTGAATTATCCAACTGCCATGCAGTGCAGAATGAGTTAGGTTTGATCCCTGATCTGCACTAAATTAGTGGATCTTAGCCAGAGCATAGTATGCTTATACAACAGTCATTCACTTCCTTAATTTGGGGAAGCATTATTAACTGGGTTCTTCAGTATTAATCACCATCTGCTTACCTCTGCTGAAGTGTGCATGTTTGTGGGAGAAGAAGCAAAGAACTATATTTGCAATAACATGTTGGCTTTAGTGCAGAAGTAAATCCTGAGACACACAACAGAGGAACAGATGAAAAGACAACAAACTTTATGGTTAACAGAAACTGCTGGAGAAACTGAGCAGCTCTGGCAGCATCTGTGGAGAGAAAGCACAGTTTCCAGTCCAGTGATCCTCTTCAGAGTTTTTTTGAACTTTTGTTTCAGATTCCAGCATCAATAATTCTTTGTTTTATTGTATACTTTATGGGTAGCTAGATGCTAACCAATGACCAGGTCAAAATGGTGTGGAGCTGGAGGAATACAGCATGCTGGTCAGGCAGCGTCAAAGGAGTAGCAAAGTCGGCGTTTCGGGTAGGGACCCTTCTTCAGAACTTCTTCGACTTTCCTGCTCCTCTGATGCTGCCTGACCTGCTGTATTCCTCCAGTTCCACACTGTGTGGACTCTGACTCCAGTATCTGCAGTTCTTCCCATCTCCGAGGTCAAAATGGTGAGTTTTCATGGTGCTTTTTAAGGCAAACGGGGATACAGAAGAAGGAACAAGTGGAAAGTTTTAAAGCAAAGAATCCAAAAAGTAGCATAGCAGTGGATACTAAGGGAATACTGCATTTTTAAAGGTTAGAGATAATAAAGAACCCTTTTCCATCATTAGTTACAAAATAGGAGATCTGTCCTTATTCTAGTTTTCCTATGATTAGTAGCATTAGTCACCGCATTGCTGTTTTGCAAATACTTGACTGTCATGAGTAGTCGTATAATTATGTTGCATTTATGTGGCACCTCATCACATTACTGGCTTGTGTACATTTGAATGGATTACTTTTTGAAGCGCAGGCAGCAGTGTGTGCGATAGCCAGAGGAAGTGGCCAGTTTGTACGCTGAATTCTCAGACCGCACCAAATGGTGGCGGCCTTATAATGCAACATTTGCTACTGTTCTGTACACCTTAGTGTATCTGTTTATAATCTGCAGTCTTGAACCCACAGCTTTCTAACTCTAAGAATGCCATCAACCGAGTCAAAGTGAAACGCAGTAAGGGCAGAAGGAGGGTTTTTTTGGTCGGGTGTTGGTGGTGGTGCGAGGTGGTTGCTCCTCTTAATCCTGGAGAGAATTTTAAAGTACAGGTGTTGGAGGACAGAGCCTGTGCAAATTAACAAGTGCAGAAGTAACCAATTAACAGAATATGGTGGGCTACTGACTGACGCAGGCTTTTGGATATGTTGAAACTTGGGAAAGGTGGAGCTGAGAAGGATGGTGAGACATGTAGAGAGTTGAAACAAATTATGGGTACGTCTGTTGACAGCAGGTGGGATTTACGTCTAGGTAGAGGAGGGTAAGACAGGAAGGAAGTAAGTTTGATGATGTAGGCAATAAAGACTAATTATTCTTTATTTGCTCATAGTCTGGCGTTTTACCCAGCAGGAACAATGCCAGTCCACTAAAATTAATAGCTGTAAAGCAACGGAGATCCCACGCACATTTGCCGTCGCCATGTATGTACAGTACTGTCCATACTTGTGGCTTCCCAACATTCGGGTGTAATTGGAAAATTATCCTTGTGGGCTCTGAAATTGATATCGAGATTAACAGGATGCTGAAGTTTACAATTAAGTAAAACAAAGAATCGCGGCCTCTGCTTCTCTGTCTGCAAATGCCGCCAGATCTGCTGAGCGACTCCAGCGCTTTCTGTTTGTGTTTCAAGTTTACAATAGTCTGGCTCGCCTGTGCGAGCATCTAGGGAAAGGGAGTGAGAGGGGAACGATTTCGATTGGAACTGAAATTCGTTGATGCAAACTTCTTAGTCTTCAGTTGGAGAAGGAACTTCTGGTCCCGATTTGTCGTGTCACATTATGCGGGTCTAACCAGACAGAAATGATGGGATCTAGAAAAGTGAAGGCAGCGGGATAGTTCGATGTTGTCATTTGGCTATCGAAATGGACCCTTTTGGAAATGAAAAGATGAGCAATGCAACAAATGGAGTCAGAGATCAGGAACTCTGAAGATGGTCATGGTAGGGAACAATCCGTTGGTGCCATAGCCAAATAAAAAGCCTAGACCCTTTCGCCAAGAACAAATGGGATATAATTTGTGGTATTCCAAGATTCAGTGACAAAGTCGAAATGCAGCAACCCCAGCAGTCAGACTTAGCAACACATGCCGGACATGCATGTTGATTTTGAAACAAGGCAGGTAGAAAGCACGTGGTTTCTCAGCACGACTAGAAAACTTTATTTCAGGTACTGAACAGCTTATGTACTCAACTGATCTGCACTGACGTGGTGAATGGAATTAGCAAAAATACTGTGAGATTCCTTAAACTTTGGCGTTCTCTAGACTGGACACTAAGGCCTACACAAAGAAATATTCCCCCAAACTGGTCGCCCAGTCTCCCTAAACTACTCTCAAAAGCCCTTCATTGGCCACGAAGCGGTCCCCGACATCCTTAAATTGTGAAAGGTGCTACATTAGTGCACGTTCTTTCACTGCTGTCCTCAGTGAGGCCCTGGAAATCTGTGGCTTTGATTTGCCTGTTCCGGATTCTGAACAGCACCCTATCCAGCTGCCAAGGTTGAACCCTACCCAATGTACACACTGTACCTCAGCATTTTACATCCAGGGCAGAAGTCTGCAAGAAACACCCAGCCAGACTTTTGGACACTCCCTGTGGAAATCTCCCGAGTTAGTGTGATTGCATGACATTATTATTCCCCTAGTGCAACGAGGCCAGTTCTAGCATGCGTTACGTGATGGGAACCTGGCAGTGCACCACAGAGATTTGTCAAATCCTTGCAGTGCTCCAAGTAACCAGCAGCGATACATTCCGGAGGCTTCGGACTTACTGTGGTCAACTTCAGCTGTCAGCTGTTGCAATGCACTTCCACTTAACCCGGCGTTTCAGCCTAATTGACTGAAATCCTCCAGAAGGGATGGCAGGGCGCAAGTTGACACGGAGAGACTGCGCGGCGATTCCACAGACATATCCGGTTAGCTACGGGTGCGGGACTTCTGCACAGTCCGCTTCAAAGCGCCTCTGAAAACCTCTCGCCCCGTGAATAGGGAACAGCCTGCCCCGGGTGTGGAAACCAAGTAGAAATAATCTTCTGAAAAGTGCTTTGTGAATTCGAGTATTGCACAAGACACCACTCGAGGGTTGGTCTTCGATCCCTCTTTAGAAAGTAATTTGCAGAGAACTTAGCGAAAAAATGCAAATAATTGATTATTTCGACTCCCCGGCTTATGAGAGATAAGCGGGTGCACTGAATGCTCAAAGTTCAAGTCACGTGCTTCTTTCAATATATAAAAGTGCCTTTTGAAGTGCCCTTTGCAGCCAGTTAGCGCTCGGAGTGAGAGACAACACCAACCAAGCTGGTGCAACGTGTCCAGTACACAGCAGCTAAGCCGCTGCAAAGTCCGTGGAGCTCTGACAGTGGCACGTCAGGGAGGGAGATGTCCGCTATACGCTGCCGGTTGCCCTTCCTTGTCATCTTCCTGGAAGGGATCTTACTCGTGCTGATTGCGCTTTTCGTGACTTATGATGAGCACACTGATTCTGCAGCGCACAGCAATGAGACAGATCACAAATACAATCAGCTGTATTCCATCTTCCCAGTTTTTCAGGACGTCCAGGTGATGATTTTTGTGGGCTTTGGACTCCTGATGGGCTTCCTGAAAAAGTACGGGTACGGAGGGATTGCCTTCAATTTTATGATTGCAGTGTTTTCCGTGCAGTGGGCTCTGCTGGTGCAAGGCTGGTTCTATCACTTCCACGACGGCAGGATTCACATCGGAGTTTACAACTTACTGACCGCAGAAACCGCTTGTGCCACTGTCATGATCTCATTCGGAGCCGTGCTTGGCAAGACCAGCCCAGTGCAGATCCTCATTCTGTCTCTGCTGGAGGTGCCCATCTTTACTGCAACCGAGTGGATTATTATGGAGCTTCTCAAAATCAAGGACGTCGGAGGGTCTATAACCATCCACTTGTTTGCGTGTTATTTTGGTCTCAGCGTTACCACGGTGCTTTACAGACCCGGCTTAAAAGATGGGCACAAGGACGAGGGGGCGGACTATAACTCGGACAAGCTGGCCATGCTGGGCACCTTGTTGCTGTGGGTCTTCTGGCCCAGCTTTAACTCAGTCTTCGCAGCGAGTGGACACGGCCAGCACCGGGCGGTGATCCACACCTACATCGGCCTCAGCTCTTGTACCTTGACCACGTTCGCCATCTCCAGCCTGTTGGACAAACGGGGCAAGATCAACATCGCTCACATCCAGAACGCTGCCCTGGCAGGCGGTGTGGCAGTGGGCTCTGCAGCCGATATGATGGTGACTCCAGCCGGGGCATTCGCCCTGGGCTGCATCGCCTCGGTGCTCTGCACCGTGGGATTTAAATACTTGACTCCCTTCCTGGCCAAAAAACTCAAAATCCAAGACGTTTGCGGCATCAATAACTTGCACGGGATCCCTGGCTTTGTCGGAGCTATTGCCGGAATTGCCACTATCCTGTTGACAACCGATGAGAGATACGGCCACGGCTTGTATGACACCTTCCCGGAGCGGGTCCCCAAGGAAGGAGATATCAAGCTGGCCGAGCTGGTCGGGGTGCTGCCACACCTGAAGGCTGGAGGTGGCCGCAGCGCTTGGGAGCAGGCACAGTATCAGGCGGCAGCTATCGGGGTCTGTTTGGGCATCGCTGTCTTAGGAGGGACCGTCACTGGCTTCATACTAAAACTCCCCTTTCTGGCTCAGCCCAAAGACGAGTATTGTTTCAACGACGACGCTTACTTTGAAGTACCCGAGGTGGAAGGGAAAGAAGAATTCGAATTTACCAGTAAAAACAGCGCGAACAATAACCAGCGCCTTAAACTTCCGGTTTGATTCCAAACTGCTTTTGTTGTGTGCCCGAACGTCGTGTCTGTACATCAGTTTCCAGGACGTGCCTGAATTTAGAAAAACACCTTGTGGTTAGCATACGTTATGCTAATTGTCAAATACTTTACCAGATATACTTATTAAAGAGAAGCCTTTAACCTGAATTGAGTTGCAAATTACTGTTTCAGGATCCACAACGCCCTAACTTCTTATAAGTGATTGAAAATCAGGATGTGCCCCATTCCTCCAAAATCATTCACAACTCCTGCACATTCTATGAGCTTTGCAAATAACACATTACTCGGAATGTGAATCAGAACATATTTGTCACACTTGTTTAAAAAATGATTACTGTATTTTTCCACCTACAACATTTCGGCGAATGAGATACAAATTCACAAGTCTGGGGTACCTGCCTGTTAACACACAGTGACATGCTAATCATTAATGTCAGTCTCTGTCTACCAGCCAGGTCAAGTCTACACAGATGAGCCATTCAGCCAGTACTTGTGTAAGAGTGAGTTTTTATTTTTCCTTTTTCTAAACTGCACACTATAAGACTTTAATGAAGAATTTTAGACAAGATAATAATTAAAAGAATTTTATTTACTCTGGTTAAGGTAATGAATAGTTTTAAGAAATTCAAATAAAGTTGTTCAAACACAATGATCAAGAGTGTTCAGTAATTTCCTGCGGTAAATTATTTTCCAGCAATTTTTGTTTTTACTTTATTGACTCCATTTCAGTTTTATTTTGATCCAAATCCATAGCTTTGTCAAAGTTCTCACCTTTCTTCCTCCTTCCCAAATGGTACAGTTTCATGAGATCCTCTGAAATATTCCACAAACACACTATTCTTAACGTGTACACTAGTATAATGAATGTTGATAGGTTATTTAACAGCATGGGGAGGGGAACTCACATTCATGCCAAATTCTGTCATCATCTTGAAGTGAAACCATTCAACTCATTAAGAACTCAGCCAACTCTATTACCCCTAGTACCTTCACTTCCCCCACACCCCATACACTGACAGAAGGCACTTATTGCTAAGCAGCAGGAACGCTGTCCAATTTGCCAACTTACCTTCCTGGCCAATGGTCACTGGGACCAGGCGTAGAATCTCAATGACATTCGAACTGATGTCAGTGATTGCAGCGCAGACTGGAATCAAAACACATGCCTTCTTGTATTTACAACACAGGTTTACACTGCATTTACCAACTGAGCCAACAAGAGGGTGCTTTCCTTCACTGCTTTTGTTTATTTTTCATTGGCGTCTGTTCCCCTTGCATCCTGAAGCTTCTAGTTCCAGCCTCTTATTTTTGTGACCTTTATTTCCTCTCTGAAGGTTGTGAACAATTGCAGCAAAACAAGTCTAAAGTATAGGTCAGTTCATTTGCCTACTGATTATGGTTGACCTTTCATTCTTTCCTCTTATTTCTTCAGTTAACACTGTTTTCTTTCACTGTTGCAATTCTTCTCAGGTTTAATTCACTAACTCAATTCAAGTCAGCTCTTTCTTCAGTTTCCATTCACCCTACTTAACTGTCTCAACACGTTGTTATTTTGATACAACTTTTTGTATTTTTATAAATACTGTATCTTACTTGACAACACCCCCATAGTTCTGCTCCACCTCATATAATTCATTCCTATCTGTGTAACTGTCTGGCTTTGCTCCTCAGTTTTGAGGAAGAATCAAAAGGATTTCTAAAGTTTTTTTTTCGTAGTGACCACTGTTCTTTGCCTTAAGTTTTCCTTTTCGGATGCTGACTTTTATATTTTGCTGCCACTTTTGTCCTAGTTCTATTAATTTCAGTTCTTCCATACAATCAGTAGTAAATTAAATTTATTCTTCACCTCTTTCAGGCATTTCTAGTTATTACCAAGGCAATGCTCAACCCTAAGTACAGAAAGTAGCCTTTTACATAGCCCTCTAGTTCCTTGCAAACTTAGCTAGACTTTATATATCTTGAAAGATTGTTGGTCAGCTAATTGTGGAATCATCGTACCTGAACTCAGATGTCCTTTTCATGCTTCTACACACACAAACTGTTCAATAAGAATCATCCAATTGCAACAGGGGTAAGAATTCTGGCTAATTTTTTGTCTTCTTATTTAAGGGATATAGTTTAACTGTAGCACTCCCATTACTTTCTCAGCTGATTTAACAAAATCAAGAATTGAAACTGAGAGTTCTAAGAATTATATAGTTCACATCATGCAGTTTAATTGTGTTACAGAGACTTAGATATTACACATTCTGTAGGAGACTGCTAAAATCAGGTGCATAAATTATACTTGAACCAGTGCTAGCTATATAAGTTGTGATTTTTTTTCTACTCTAATTTTCATCTTCTTCGTGATTTTATTTAATGTCCTTCAGAATGCTATGATTGATCTCGTTTAACTATTCATGGAGGTAATGCATTCCACTCTAGTAACTGTTCATACAAAAAGTTATTCTAATTTCAAACTTTCTTATCATAGTCATTACTACTGACTCATAAATAGCAAATCAATATTTTGCCTCTCACACGTTTTCAAGACTTCGACATCTTAACTTTCTTTGCTGTACTGAACCTAGTACTAGTTTTCAGGTCTCACTTATAATGATATCTTCTTAATTAATCAATTTTGCACATGACTTCGAGACTCTTTCAATCATTGACCCTTTGAGCAATGTAGAATCTTTTCTTCTGTGCACTTCTTCCCAAATCCCTTCTTAAGTCCCCTACTGCTTGTTTAAATTCCAGATTTTTTAAAAAAGGATTTTTTGAGTTCTATATATCACACTTGCATTACTCTTTGCCTCACCTTCTCATTATCTGTACCCCCACCCCAGCCCCTGACTTGCTACCTCAAGCTAAAATCTCTTGGTTGCCTATTCTTTGATCTTTGATCCTGCAGCTTTCAGTATTGACAGCTTTCACCAAAATCATAAACTTCACCCCAGTCTTCCTTTAGATTATTCATTTTGTTGAGCTGCTGGCATTCACTTGGCGAACATAATTCCCAAATCCAGAAGCTAATGAGGAAGTAATCTTGGACTTTAAATTTAATCAGACCTCGATGGCATGACAGTGCTCTTCTGGTTTTGCTATGTGTCAAGGTTGACGGTCAATTATATGTAAACACAATCAAATTCCCCCCAAATTTTTATGGAGTGCTGTTCTTTTAAAAAATGAGCACCATTTTACATAAACCTCAGATTGCATAGTTTTAATGCATATGAAATACCGACTTTTGTATAAAAATGGACATTGAAAATGATTTTTGGCATAGTGTACCAGATTCTATGTTTTTTATACAAATTTATGTTATACACATAAGTGTTTGATAGAAGATATATGTTATATATATCTATATATATATATATATATACACATATATATGTGTGTGTATGTGTGTATCTTAGGAGCTCATCCACCATAATACGTGGATTCAAGTTATAGTAGCAGGCAATAGCAGTTAGCAGTACCACAGTGAAATACAGTTGGATCAGAACAAGAGATGGTTCATCAGTTTACTAATCAGTAACTTGTATTGTAATTTGAGCCAAATAAAATTCTATCCCTGATGACTTTACTCGATATCCAAGCCTGTTCCCAGCAATATTCTGCATTATGATACATGACCAGAAGATGTAGAGTTTACCACCCTGCATTTTATCCAACAGCTCTCAAATACTTCTGAAATTCACTTGTTAAGCCCCACTGGTGTAAGTTAGATCAAATTATTCATTATCTACTGATCTATTGTAGAAGATTGTGCATTAAAACTTGCAGAGCCCTTGTAGATTCCTCCTCAAGTTATATCAAAATATACCAATAAGAGTCTTTGAAGCAATATATTTTTGAATGGAAATAATTTTAAAAAGGATGAACACAAAAATTCTTGTGTTTTTTCTTTCCCTTTATATTTTTGTTAAATTATTTGGTAATGTTAATCTATTGAGATGGGAGACAACAATTCCACAGATCATAAAATTATTATTCATCTACAGACTTCCTGTAAATGATTGTAAACAGGAATTTTTAGAAAATACTAATAATATAGATTGTAACACTTATTTAGTCATGCCGATATTTCACAGAAGAAGCACAGTTTATAGAGTTCTATTAAGCCAATCCCAATCAGTACTCCCACCTAAATGCATTTTGAATAATATCTATGCTTATTAAAATAAGCAAAACTATTATTTGTTCTGAGACTATTCATCAGTTTAAATATCATGATTTTCCACTGCAGAACATAGACATTTGCATGAAAGAAGACCTATGGTCTTCAAAGAAAAATTTCTGAAAAATTTGTTTTTTTAAAAATAATTGCGTCCAATAGATTGGGAGGATCTCATGATCCAAATTTTTAAACTTTGAAATGTTACTATCAGTTTGTCTGACATAATTCCTACAGTGTTTGCCTGTGCTTTGGTAAGTTGATTGCAACATACGTAAAGAAGCCAAGTTCTAGAAAACCCTAGTAATATCTATAATGGAAATGTTCTTCACTAGTGATGACATTAGAGTGCATTGTATACTCCAAGGTTCAACGTACTCTACTTTTGGTAAAACATCACTTCTATAATCAGTGACCACAGGCCTTTGCAGAAATTGATCTACTTATCTTGTCAAATGTTTAAGATTGCACATTGTTTGGATAAACTTATAAATGGACATTTATTAGGTAGATCATAATATTATATTCTGTATTAAATATAGGTTATTTGTACTAACCTTACTAACTAAGCTGTATTAGATATGTGACCCGTGCAAAAACTGCAGCTGTCCCACTTATCTGCCATTTCTCTCTATTATTCTCTGTTTATTCTAGACTGGTCTTTTCAGGCTGGTTTAGATGAATGCATCTGAAGAAGCACTTGCAAAGCATTTCTAATAGAACCCATCATGCACATAATATATTGCATAAATGTAGAGACGTAAAGTAGTAGATATTGGGGAGTTAAAACAATATAAAAAGGTGAAATGTTTATTCAGAAGGTAGATTTTGTCAAATTGGGATAGTTAGTATGTTATGAATATGTGTTTTAATATGTGTTTTTCACCTGCCCTTGAAACCTTTGTAAAATCCAACAACAACCGGCATGGAGAAATCCTATTGGTTTCTTACTAGTGAGCCGTAGCTGAAAGGTTTCCAGGTCATTAGGTTGTTGCACTATAAGAAGAAAGACATTGAGTTTGTTCTCTACAGTGGAGAGGGGTGCAACATCAGAAAACTGTTGAAAACTGTTTGTTAAAAAGTCAAATAGTTTTTCTTAGGTAAAAAGTTGGTGCCATTTTATTCAATTGATCTGCCTCACATACAAGGCTATTATTCGATACATCAATTGAATCCTGGTTACAGCTGTCTGCCCCATCCCCAGGTTAGCTAGCAGAGTGGGAGAGTTTTGACAAAAGAAACTGTCATGCCCACTCCCCCCGCAAAAGAAAAGTATATTATCAATGCTGTGAGCTGTGTTGATGACAAATTAGATGTTTCCACAGAAATAGTTTCAAATTGAATGTTATTAACTACATATTAATTTTTGTAAAATTTTTCACATTAAAATGGATAAAACAACTAAATGTATTAGTTGCATAAAAGATACTTCAAGTGTATTGTTGTAGTATTTTTGGCAATAAGTCTAATGTTCTAAAATAAAA